ACGGTCCCGTCCCCCCGCGCTACCCCCAGACTGCCCCTGCGGGCGAGTTTGCTGCTATTTGTCAAGCCATACTTTTCTCAGGAGGACCTTCGGATTTTTATACAGATGCACAGCTGGTCAAAGATCACTTCGGTCGCCCTCAGATTGACCAGCTTTCACCTAAGCGAAGCTACAGCGGGTTCTCCCTCTCCCTCCTTTCGGATTTCTGGAAGGTCCGCTCTTTGAACAAAGTGAAAGCGCATCGCTCTTTGGATGAGTGGACCGACAATCATGACAAGATGTGCCGTTTTGGGAACCACCACGCTGATGTAGGAGCTAAAAGTGCTTCTGCGGGGGAAGGGTACCTGGGGCACCCACAGCCGTCGGAGGAGGACAGGTGCAGGCTTGATCTCGACATTAAGTTTTCTAGGGCTGTGGCATCATTGTCTGCTAAGCTGATGCTTTTGTGGCCCAAATTAGACCTCCAAGACGTTGTGTGGATTCAGCCGCCTAAGGACCCCCCCCAGGTGGTTTCCTCTGTGCTTTGCGATTGGCAGCCCATCCAGATTGTCGAGCTTGGTTCCGTCTCGGGCTTTTGGAAGTGTTCGAGGTGTGCAAAAGTCAGCCGTCTTTCCACCCATGGTCCCCCGCCTCCTTCCTCGAAGTGCTCCCCTGTTCGAGGGATGGAGGCGCAGGTTTTGGAGGCGCGGGGACACAGGTGTTTGACGCTGGCCTGCTCAGACAATTCGACTTTGGTGATCTGCACCAAGTGCTATTCTTATTCGTCTCATGGTCGTGCGTCGGGCCTTGCGGATGTTTGCAGCGGCCCGACCAGATCAAAGAAGTACAACAGTTGGCACCCGATTTGTAAAGGCCTCCATCCTAAGCGTCCAGGAGTCTCGGTTGAGAGAGGGCCGTGGGCGCAGAAGGGAGGAGGCCTTCAGGTAGCCGATGCAGGTGCCGCCGCGGCGCAGGAGCACGGCTCTCCGCGCCCCGCCACCGCCGCCGAGGACCGTGGGGACGGGGTGGAGCGGGGAGCGGGGGGGGGAGCGACTGTGTCCGAGCACGCTGGTTTGCAGGACTGGGAGGCGGACGAAGAAGCCTCTCGTTTTCTTTTTCAGGGCCCTCCTTCTCCTCCTCCTCCTCCCCCCCTTCATGGCTTGCCCTGTGCCCCGGCCTCTTCTCGCTGTGAGGCCAGGGAGGCGTCGTTTATCTCGGTGCTCGCGCACCGTGATGAGGGCGACTCGAGTTCGGACTAACGCCTGGGGGTGAAGCAGCGGGCCACGGGGTATCCTCCAGCCAGCTGGAGATGACCCTGTGGCCCGCTGCTTTTCCTCGCTTTTCAGGTGTTAGTATTAGCTGGCTTGACCAGCCGTCCTGCCCTAATTGTCTGGGCTGGCTCTCTACCTTGATGTTGATGTCCTCCTGCTGCTCCTCTGCCTCCTCCTCCTTTTACCTCCCTTACTCCGCCTCCTCCTCCTCCTCCTCTTCCCCTTCCTCCTCCCCCTCCTCCTCCTCCTCCTCCTCCTCCCTCCTCCTCCTCCTCCTTCCTTGGCCTCGTTCTCGTTCCTCCTCCTCCTCCTCCTCCTCCTCCTCCCGTGCCTCCTCATTATCCTCCTCTTCCTCTCCTCCTCTTCCTCCTCCTCCTCCTCCTCCTCGTCCTCTCCTCCTCCCGTGCCTCCTCATCATCCTCCTCTCTCCTCCTCCTCCTCCTCCTCCCCCTCCTCCTCCTCCTCCTCCTCCTCCTCATCTTCCCCCTTCTCCTGGGGCCCGCTTGGGAGCCTCTTTGGTCCCTCTTGGGGCTATCTTGGGGCCGTCCCGGGGCCCTCTTGGTCCCTCTTAGGGCTCTCTTGGGCCGTCTGGGCGCCCTCTTGGACCGTTGTCGGCCCCTTTGGGGGGCCTCTGGGGCCGTCTTGGGACGATCTTTGGGGCCTCTTGGGCCGTCTTGGGCCCGTTTCGAGACTCGTGGGCCGTCTTGGGACCAGCCCAGTCCTCACACTCAAGCAGCCCAGTCCCCACACCGCCTCTTCGGGCCCCCTGGGAGTCTCTTGGGAGTCTCTTGGGAGCCTCTTGGAACCCTCTTGGGGCTCTCTTGGGGCAGTCTTGGGGCCCTCTTGGACTGTTTTGGGGCCCTCTCTTGGGCCGTCTGGGGGCCCTCTTGGATTATTTTCTGCTTCTTTGGGGAGGGCAATGGGGCCGTCAAGGGACGAGCTTTGGGGCCCCGTGAGCCGTGTTGGGCCCTTCTGGGCCCGAAAAGGTGAGAACCCGAACAGCCTTCAAAAACCAACAGGGAAATCAATGTTTTTGGCCTCCTGAGGCCCTCTCGGGGGCCCTCTTGAGAGCCTCTGGAGCCGTCTTGAGGCTCTCTTGGACCGTCTGGAGGCCATCTGAGGCTCTCTCGGGGCCGTCTGTGGGCCGTTGTGGGGCCCTCTGAAGCTCTCTTAGGATCGTCTTGGGGCCCTCCGAAGCCGTTCTGGGACCCTCTTGGGGCCCTCGGGCCGGTTCATTCAAAAAGATACATAGGAACAGACCAAGGGAGCCTCCCGGGAGCCGCTTCATTTGAAAAAGTACAAGGGAAACGCTGCCATTAGACCATTCACTTCGGACCCAAACCCCGGACCCCCTCCCTAAAAGGGCTTCGCCCCCTACCAATCGTATCTCGCTCGTACCTCGCTCGTTCCGTCACCTGGGCTGGCACGGAAACGGAAAGAGCGCCTCAGGAATTGGCCCGAGAGGCCTCATGGCACCCTTCACTCTTGGGAGCCTTGGTGTGAAGAGTTTGTTACGTCGCTGCTCTCCGTTGGGAGCCCTGGTGTTCAGAGACTGCTACGTTGCCGCTCGCCCTTGGGAGCCTTGGTGTGGCGAGCTTCGTACGTCACCGCGCTCTGGGGAGCCTTGGTGTCAAGAGCTTGTTACGTCACCGCTCGCTGATGGGAGCCATGGTGTTCTTGAGCGTCTCTTGGGCCTCGTCGGGGTCTTCTTGGGGCCCTTTTGGAGCCCTTCGGTAGCCCTTTTGGGGCAATTCTGGGCCGTCTTGGGGCCCTTTTGGGCCGTTCAGGGGCGTCTTGGAAGCTTTTGGCCGTCTTGGGGCTCTCTTGGGAGCCTCTTTCGGCCCTCTTAGGGGCTCTTCTCTTGGGGCAGCCTTGGGGTCCTCGTGGGCCGTCTTGAGGCCACCTGGAGCTGTTTTGGGGCCCTCTTGGGCCATCTGGGGGCCTCTTGGACCTTTTTCGGGCTCTTTGGGGGGCCTCTGGGGCCGTCGAGGAACGAGCTTTGGGACCTCATGGGCCGTGTTGGGCCCTTCTGGGCCCGAAAAGGTGAGAACCCGACGAACTTTCAACCATCATAGGGAAAGCAATGTTTTGTGGGCTCCTGAGGACCTCTCGATGGCTCTCTAGGGGGTCTGGAGCCGTCTCGAGGCTCTCTTGGACCGTCTGGAGGCCATTCGAAGCTCTCTTGGGGCCGTCTCTGGGTCGTTTTGGAGTTTGAGGCTGTCTTGGGGCCCTGGATCCATTTCATTCGAACAAGTATAATATAAGGAAGCGCGCCGTGGAAGGCGCCCGCGAGCCGTTTCACTCGAAGAAGTACAAAGGAAACGCCCCCCTTGGCTGCCATTGCAACCCATGCGTCCAGCCCTCGCCATTCCCTGGACCCCTCCCTAGAGGGCTTCGCCCCACCAGAACGACATCACTCGCACCTCGCTCTTTCCGTTACCTCGGCCGGCACGGGAACAGAAGGAGCGTTGCAGACATTTGCCCGAGATGATTTTTGGCACTTTTTGCTCTGGGGAGCCTTGGTGTGAAGAGCTTGTTGCGTCATCGCTCTCTGTTGGGAGCCTTGGTATTCAGAGATCGTTACGTTGCCGCTCGCTCTTGGGAGCCTTGCTGTTCAGAGCTCGCCGCGCTCTGGGGAGCCTTGGTGTTCGGATCTTGTTACGTCACCGCTCGCTGTGGGGAGCCATGGTGTTCCTTGGCGTCTCTGGGGCTTCTTGGGAGTGTTTCGGAGGCCATTTGGGACCGTTTTGGGACTCTTGGGCCGTCTTGGGGCTAGCCCAGTCCCCACGCCAAAGCAGCCCGACCGCACACCGCCATTTTGGGCTCTCTCTGGGGCCGTCTTGGGGCCCTCGTGGGCCGTCTGGGGGGCACTCTTGGACAGCTTTCGGGTCCTTTCGGGGCCTTTGGGGCCGTCTCGGGAGGATCTTTGAGACACCTTGGGCCGTCTGGGGCCCTTCTGGGCCAGGAAAGGCGAGAACCTCAAGCACCGTGAAACAAATTTTGATATTACAGTGTTCTAAGCCTCTTGAGGCCCGCTCGGGAGCCCTCTTGAAGGCCGTTTTGAGACTCGTGGGCCGTCTTTGGACCAGCCCAGTCCTTACACCCAAGCAGCCCAGTCCCCACCCCGCCTCTTCCGGCCCCCTTGGGAGTCTCTTGGGAGCCTCTTGGAACCCTCTTGGGGCTCTCTTGGGGCAGTCTTGGGGCCCTCTTGGACTGTTTTGGGGCCCTCTCTTGGGCCGTCTGGGGGCCCTCTTGTACTATTTTCTGCTTCTTTGGGGGGGCAATGGGGCCGTCAAGGGACGAGCTTTGGGGCCCCGTGAGCCGTGTTGGGCCCTTCTGGGCCCGAAAAGGTGAGAACCCGAACAGCCTTCAAAAACCAACAGGGAAATCAATGTTTTTGGCCTCCTGAGGCCCTCTCGGGGGCCCTCTTGAGAGCCTCTGGAGCCGTCTTGAGGCTCTCTTGGACCGTCTGGAGGCCATCTGAGGCTCTCTCGGGGCCGTCTGTGGGCCGTTGTGGGGCTCTCTTGCCGCTTCAATCGAACAATTACAAGGAAACAGACCATGGGAGCCGCCCGGGAGCCGCTTCATTTGACAAAAATACTTGGGAAGCGGCCCCCGGGCGGGCATTACAACCATCAACACCCTCCTCGCCCTTCTCCCCTGGACCCCTCCCTCGAGGGCTCTGCCCCAACTCGAACGTGCATCGCTCGTAATTACCTCGCGCTTTCCGTCGCCCCCGATGCCCGAAAGGCAGATAGCCGGCACCTTCTGGGCGGCTTTGGTCGCCGACCCGGTCCGCGGCCTCTTCACGGGGCTCGTGGCCCACGGCGGCGACGAGTGCGCGTGGTCTCCCCGCCCCCCATCGCGTGAGTTTGGGGGCGAGACGGGGCGCGAGGGCTCGAGTTCAGCGGCGAATGATGAGAGAGCTTTTTTGTTTCACCCTCTGGGCCATAACGTGCGTTATGCCCCCTACCCTCCCCCCCCTCTTCCCCCCCCCCCCCCGTAACGTAACGCTCCCCCCCCCAGTGCGTCCCCGGCACTGCCGCAGTGCTTCTGGCACCACAGTCTGGGGGGGGCGTTGCGTTATGCTTCTTCCCGGTCCCCCCCCCTTCCCCCATAATGCCCTCTCTGGCCGCGAATAAAGGAATGCGTTCCTCGGGACCCTTGTATACCATCTTAATTCCGTTTTTCGCGTCGTCTAGCACCGATTAAGCGTCTGGACGTCGACGAGATAGTAATGATTTAGCGTCGGCTAGCGTCGATGAGCATCGGTTTAGCGTCGATGAGCGTCGACTAGCGTCGATTAGCGTCAATTCGCCAGAGCCTACAAGATGGTTTGGGAGGCTCCTATGAGTTGCCACCGAACATGAGGAGCAGATCGGCGCCGCAGATTGGAGCGGAGGAGGTGCAGTACGAGGTGGAGGAGGACGAGGAGAAGGATCGGTAGATATTGGAAAGGGGGGAAGACGAAAACACAGAACATAAAGATATGGGGAATCATGTTATGTGTGTTTACTTGTGTGTCCCAGGGCCCCTTCAGTTTTTCTCGTATGTTTCATCACGAGTGCGACTGCACCTTGCCTTCGTCCCAAGAAGGGCGACCCCCTGGTACAGAGTTTAGGATGCAGTGCAACTCTCGGGAGGCATGCGGAGGTACGTCCGTGGTCAAATTCCAGCATGATCCCGTCTGGTTCCGCGAAGTCTGGCTCAATCTGGTTGTTTTTCCCGACTTAATCTGGGCTAATCCGGCCCATCTGCCGCTTAATCTGGCTTAGTAGCATTCACCGATCTCACGAAGACCTCCTAGAAGTTGCCTCCTGCCGGTATCGTTTAACCGATCCTTATCCCCATCCCAATCCCGATCCCCGCCATCTTGCCACCCTGGTTGGGGATATGCACCTGGAAACCCGAAAGGAACAGCCTATATCCAAGCTTTTAAGAGGTTAATCGGGCGAGGCTAAGGCGAGGCTACATCCGTTCCAGAGCTTTCTGAGACGCTCTCAGAGCGTTCCGGAACGCTCTGAGAAGGCCGCGGCGCCCGAGGCATCCTCCAGAGCTGCCAGATCTCAGAGAAGATTGATTTATTCTCGCCTGAATGTATCCTCGTCCTGGCGTCGTCTCAGTAGATCGGCCAGTGGGGCCCAGGCCACGCCGGTGGGGGAGAGAGAAGAGGAAGGAGGAGGAGGAGGAGGAGGAGCAGGAGGAGGAGGAGGAGGAGTACACGCGACTGGAATGATTCCGCCGAGGAAACGAGGGGGCCACGACTGATTCCAGGAAAACGCGGCTATCCCGAAGCCGCGTGGGTGTCACCTCTTAAGGGATTGCCCGTGCGCGGGTGACACTTGGCCTTCAGGTTTCTTAAGGCCGTGGAACGAAGCCTACTGGTCTCCCAGTCGACGGGGCCTTTACAGTTGGCCATCAACACTGGGGACTGGCGGGTGGATGCTGATCCCCCGCAGTTCAGACAGCCTTTGGTGACCATATGGTGTCCCCGAATAAGCTGAAAAGATGGCTCAGGGACACTAGACACAGGAGGAGGAGGACGAGGACGAGGACGAGGAGGAGGAGGAATAGAAGGAGGAACAGGAGGAGGAGGAGGAGGAGGAGGAGCAGGAGGAGGAGGAAGGGGCTGATGTGCATCGGTGAAGCGAGGCGCATCCTTACAGCGTGCGTGCGCGACCAGAGTCGGAGCTCTCGGGATCCCTGCGCGCGTGGCCGCTCCACCGCGGCTCGCCTCCAGGGGGCGGCGCGCCTGGAGCTGGCGCCGAGGGAGCGTCGGCACACGGAGCAAGCCGCGGACCATGATCTCCGAACTGGAAGCCAGGCCCAGGAGGAGGAGGAGGAGGAGGAGGAGGAGGAGGAGGAGGAGGAACAGGCCTAAGCACCCAGACAGGATCGCGTCGTAACAAAAAAGAGGACGGGAGGTCTTTGGCTATTCTCGGCCCCGGGGGGCCCTCGCTGGGCCCCGGGACCGTCGAACACCGAGTCAAACAACCGGTCCCGGGGAACGGGTCGGGACTTCCAGGGGGGCCGTCCTGGAACAAACCAGGACGTCGCATGTCTGGGCACAGGGGGTAGCCGATCGGAACACTAACAAAACTGCCCCCCACCCCCACCCCCCATCGGTTCTGACGGCATTTGGGCCCAGACCCCCTCGGGGCGTAGAAAAAATGACGGAGGGCTGTCGCTATGTTCAGCCGCTGGGGGGGCCTCGCCGGCTCCTGGGGCCGTCTCAAACCTACCCAGGATGAAACGCCGGTCGCGGGGAGTGTGTCGGGGCCGATGTCATCAATGTAAGGAAAAATCAGGGAAACGGGAGATTCGAGTACGCCAGAACTCGGGTTTCTCGACGCTGTTTGACGAGCCTGTCCAGGACTTCACGGGCCAGTTTTCGTGGGACGTTGGCGGCGGGAGCTCGCGTCAAATTTCTGATGGGGTCACGGCCCCGTCAGGCGAGCCCGAGTCGCCCGATCCCGAGTCTTACGTCTCCCTGATGAGTTCGAGGAAACGTGAACATATATCAATAGTCGAATAGGCGGTTCCCAGCTCCATGCGAGATCGACCAGAGCCGGGGCCAGGGCCGTGCCGGGGCCAGGGCCGGGGCCAGGGCCAGAGCCCGGGTCGGGGTCGAGGCGGGGTTGGCGGGCCAGGGCTGGGGCCAGAGCTGAGGCCGGGGCCAGATAGCCTGGGCCGGGGGGCCAGACCGGGGCCCGGGGCGGCAGGCCAGGGGGGCCCTAAGTCAAGCCTGTCGGCTGGCCCACCTCCGCCTGCCCTGGCCCTTTAAGGCCGCCCTTGAGCCTTGAAGGCCCCGACTTTCACCTTTCCCTTTCCAGGGCTGCGGGTCGGGGCCAGAGCCTAGGGCCGAGGCCGGGGCAGGGGCGGGGCCGGGGCCGGGGGCCGGGGCCGGGGGCGCCTGGGCCGGGGCCGGGACCGATTCGGGCAGCGGGTTCGATCTGTCCCTGCCAACACCCCCCGGGAGGGCCGCCGGTCTCCCATGCAGGGGCTCCCTAATTACCTCTCCCTTGCCCCCCCCCCCGTATACACACACACACACAACACACACACACAACACACACACAACACACACACGCACGCACGCACACACACGCACACACACACACACACACACACACACACACACACACACACACACACACACACACACACACACACACACACACACACACACACACACACACACACACACGACAGGGAGAGGAAAAGGGAGGACATCGGCTAGTTCCGACGTTTCTTTTGAAACGTTTCGTTTGTCTGTTCGTTTCTAGAGTAGCTACGTTGGGACTGGCGACGACGACGAAGACGACGAAGACGACGACGAAGACGACGACGACGAAGAAGACGACGAAGAAGACGACGACGACGGCGACGACAGCATCTCACACACGCCGACTGGGTCGGCGAATTTCGGGCGTTCCAATGCCGGTCCACGACAGCACGGAACGTTCGCCGCCGCGGGCGCAAGGCGAGCGGTGGCGAGCGAAGGTGCGGCGGACGGAGGCCTCCGCGCAGGGCCGTGCGCCGAGGGAGCTGGCCCCGGAACTGGCATTTTCCTCCGGGCCAACTGCAGGGGCGGCTGGACCCGAGACCCATTGGTCTTGGTCACAGCCGATGCTCTGAAAACATATGTGCAGATCCTCAGAGACAATCGCCTGTCCCCCTCGGTGCTTCGATTTCTTTTTACCCAAGGGCAGGCCATTGCGTCAAAAGCCCGCCCATGGGCGCAGGTCAAGGACCCTGTGGCGGCTCTAATCCTCACTGCGGGGCGAGCAGGTCTGACTTTCACCGACCCCTGGACACTGTGCGAGGCCTCAGGGCAGGTTTGGTCCCTGGCCTCTGTCTCGCCTGCCTTCGTTGCTCGCCGTGCTCGCTTCGCTGCACGTCGCCTGTCTGATCACCGAGGCCTCAGCAAAATCAGCGGAGGCAAGGGTTGGTTAGGCGAATTTTTTTGGCGCCCCCTCAACGAGAGGCTGCACTGCAGACGGCAGCAAGACGACGATGACGGGGCGGAGTCGGGCACGGGTGGAGCTTGGGGGGTGCGGGAGCAGAGGACCTTGAGAGGCCTTGTTATGGGCTCGCACTGGTGCCAGCACAGGCTTCACCAGCACGACCCCCAGCTCGAGGCAGACTGCCTCATCTGTCACGGGGCCAGAGGCACCCTTTTTCACAGGCACTTCGAGTGCCCTGCCCGTGCAGCTTGGCGGCGAGACCATCTCCCGCCTGAGCTCCAGGCAGCGGCTGCTCGTCTTGCTCGCTGCCCAGTTGAACTGCAAGAGCGATTCGCCCGAGGCATCCTCCCTGACCCCTGTCAGCTGCTCGCGCGGAGGCCCTGGGACCCAGCGTGGGAGTTCAGGGCTGAAGGAGTGGGTGCGTGTTTGGCGGTGGATAACGCTCACGTCTTCTGTGACGGCTCGGGTCACGATGGAATGTTCCCCGCTTTGCGTTCGGCAGGCTGGGGAGTTGCCATTTATGACAGCGAGCGCCGCTGGATCACGGGCTGGTTTGGAGCCGTCCCGCCAGCCACTCTGCCTGACCAAGTCGCCCGAGATGGCGAAGATTTTGCAGTTTTCATGGCCACGAGTTTTTTAATTGGCACGTTCACGCTTTACTCTGACTGCAAAGGAACTCTCGAGTGCTGTCGCCATAGAAGCTGGGCCGAGAGTCCAGCCAACACACGTATGCATCTGTGGAAGGAGCTGTATGCTAAAAACGATTTGTCTGGGGTGAGCTGCTGCAAGGTCAAGGCCCATTCGAGCATGGATGACGTTCGGGAAGGTAAGATCAGCCTGTTTGAAAAAAAAAACGGGCAACGACGCCGCCGACCGTTT